TCTCAAAAAGAAAACAAAAAAAAAAACCCTCTGTGGGAAATTTGACTATGATCCTTGTCTGTTACTCATTTTCATATAAAATAAAAAACTTTCAAGAAAACTGGAGGAGCCAGCTTTTCTGTGTTTCGTAATAGGCCTTTCCTGTTTTTATGAAGGGTACTGAAATACGGCCTCATAAATGAGATCTCCTGTGCATTCACCTTCTCCCACTTCATCTGACCTTTTCCCCTTTGCCTCTACTGCCTCCATCCTGCTTAATGTGGATTCTATTCCCAGCAGTGTCTCCTTAAGTGTGGGGCTTTGGCCAGGAAGGGAGCTTCAACTGGCTTTGAAAGTTCATAGGGACCCGACAGCTCTGACCCCAAAGAACTCCTGTGCACCCCTTATATCCTGGGAACTGAGAAACATCTTAGTCTCTGCTGCTGTTCTCAAACTTGCTTGACACACTTTCCAGGGAGTTTTTGGTGGCTATCTTGAGGTTTTCTTGTTCTCAGGACTTTCAGATAGCCGCTGCTTCCTTCTGCATCCTTCTGTACAAATGCTGACATCATGCAGGTCTTGTCGTTATTGGAGATTTGCCCCCACCCATTATATTAGGGTTTGTGGGGATACCATTCGCCTAGTCTTGTAGAGGCAGCTGAACGTGAGTTTTTAGTTTTGCCATTCTAGCTACTCTGTTTTTAGAGAAAACTGTAGAGATTCAAAAAACTATGCCTTGCTGTCATCTTCTCAGAGCTCAAACATTTTTTTGGAGGTACATTTAGTAAGTATCCCTAAAATCTAAAATTTTTTTTAAGATTTTATTTATTTGAAAGAGAGTGAGCGAGAAAGCACAAGCAAGGGGGAGTGTCAGAGGGAGAAGCAGGCCCCCTGCTGAGCAGGGAGCCCGATGCGGGGCTCTATCCCAGGATCTTGGGATCATGACCTGAGCAGAAGGCAGACACTTAAACGGCTGAGCCACCCAGGCGACCCCCTAAAATCTAAAATTAACAAAGGTGAATTTATTTGCTTTCACTTTAGAATAAAAGCACTAAGGACTAAGAAATGCAACTTTGCAATGTGATTAACCTTGGGTTTCCCATCATTTCCATACATATCAAATGCTCTCTTATGTTATATGTACAGGATGTAATCATTAATTGCTTCCACTTAGAAATTAGAAGCTGAAATAATAAAAATATGAAATACAAAAGGAAAATGAAAGAGAAAATAATCTGGAAGTCTTAAAACAATTTTAAGAATATTTATTAGAGCAGACATTCACATTAAGATATTTTTAGGGATTAGGATGGCAAAAATTATTCTTTCTGCAAGGATTCACTGAGTCACTTTTATGTCCCAGGAACCCTGCCACACAGACACGGGGCACACAAGAAAGATAAGCCACAGCCCTCTGATCTTGAGGAACTGTCAGACCAGGTGGGACAAAAAACCGGTAAGCAAACGTGTGCAAACGCTATAAAGGCATTAACTAAAAATGATTTGCTAGAAAGAATAATCCTGGAAGGAGAATATCTACCTAACTATTAGGTTTGTGGCTTACTTTATGCATTTCTTATTTCTTTTTTTAAGTTTTATTTATTTAAGTAATCTCTACACCTGACTTGGGGCTCAAACTCACCATCCCAAGATCAAGAGTCACATGCTCTTCGACTGCGCCAGCCAGGCGCCACTTACTGTATTATACATTTCAGAAGCACTTGGAACTCTTTCCTCCGCTGAGTATACACTATTACTTTCGTATTTCCTAAAACAGGAGATTCTTCTTTTTGCCAGCTGAATTAGAGAGCTATTTTTAACTATAATACTCAATGCTCACAAAGATATATTAAAAGACACACATTCATGTAATGCTAGTGAGTGTAAACTGGTACATATTAACAAAAAGCTTTCCGAAAAGTTGTATCAAGGGCCTTAAAATTTTCCAAACTCTATAACCCAATACTTACACTCCTAGGAATCAATTGTAAGAAACTAATTTAACATACAACCAACATTTATGCACAGATATTAGTGCTTTAAAAAAAATGGAAAGGAAAAATTAAAAAAAATAACTTAATGTCTAATAAAAGATATCAAACAACTAGGAAATGATCATATAATGAAATAGTCTCAAATCAGCACACTTTAAAATGAATTTCTAAAAGTAATTCACCCTCAAAAGATATACTTCTGAATGCTCTAGACTGGTTCAAGTTTAAAATGACAGCAGATCACTATAGTTAGTTAAGTTTTTGATGACACGGAAATATTTATGATATAATGCTAAGCCAAAAAAAAGAAGATATAAATAATATAAAATACATTCTAACCCAAGCATACCATCCTGAATGTCAAAGATGGCACAGAAAACCAAAAACTGAAAGGGAATGTGCCAGAATGAAGTACACAGAACTTTGGGTGTATTTCCTTCTACTTATCTATATTCTTATAAATTTCCAAATTTTTTCAGTGATTGTGTATTACTTTTAAATAAAGAGAGAAAAAGTAAAATTCTGAGAGCAAAAATAAATTCACTGAGTTTATCATTCACCAAAAACAATAAATCTGTTGAATTATTAGGATGGAATCTGATAGCCCAGGGTTAAGAAATGAGTAGGAGCTACAGAAGGGAAAACATATAAAGATCAGATGCACAGGACCATGCGAAGAACAATTCCAAAAGGAGGCAACTGGCAATATGTGCCAAATATTTAAATGTACAAACCCAACACAGCGCACCCTGCATCTGAGTGCGATTTAAAAGTTCTTTTTTTTAAATTTACAGATCTGGCTTCTAATTGTTCTATAATAATATGCCATACTCCTATGATAGCTGAAGTATGCAAATCTTGCCCTACAAAACTCACATTTTAAAATAGAGAATCTAAAATTTTAAATTCTGCCGTATTAGTTTTAAGCTTAAACTTAAATTCATACATTTAACAAATATGACAATGACCCTATGAACAAATCGGCACAATTTAAAATAAATTTCCAAGGCATTCCTCCTAAAAGAGTTGTCATTCTGTATGTTCTAGAACTATTTCAAGTTTTAAAGTGACTAGCCCAGGAGCACCTGGGTGGTTCAGTCATTAAGCGTCTGCCTTCAGCTCAGGTCATGATCCCGGGGTCCTGGGATCGAGTCCCACATCGGGATCCCTGCTCAGCGGGAAGCCTGCTTCTCCCTCTCCCGCTCCCCTTGCTGTGTTCCCTCTCTGGCTGTGTCTCTCTCTGTCAAATAAATAAATAAATCTTTTAAAAAAATAAAATAAATAAATAAATAAAGTGACTAGCCCATCACTGTTGTTCAAAGACAATTTTAATTGTTAAAGAAGCCCATGTCAACAAAATAAAGAATGGCATCAACTGCTATATCCAACAGCTTTCCAGAAATTACGTTCCATTGGATGCTAATGAGCATAAACAACAAATAAAAGGGTGGGGAGTTCCTTTTATCAAGTTAAATTGAAAAAAATGCAAGAGCTTTTATGTTAATATACACAGTAATCTCTGAGAGTGCATCTTGCAAATGCAATCTCAGGAGTGAGTGATTCTACATCCTTCAAATAAATGAAACTGGTTACCTCTTAATTCAAAAGGGTAAAGAATGTTCCTAGGTTCCCAGGACAACGGTATGCTGAGGTAGAATGTCCCTCATCTCTAACGGGAATGAAAGGGCGTGGAGGGGTGTGCGCAGAAGAGACATCCAGGAGGCTGCCACACGAGTCTGAGCTCAGGAGAAAGGAATGGGACACCAACACAGACTCTGATAACGTCGGCCTGTGGATGTCAGGTGAGGCCACTATCGTGAAGGCTATTAACCAAAGAGTATTTTCTGTTTTTACTCTAGATGCCTTAAATTCAATACATAAGTCTTAAAAACATGATTTATCATAACTATCCACCACATCATTTCTTACATATCTGCCCCCTCCTCCAACTGAACTGTGCTCCTGGATTCCTAAGCACAGGGACCCTTGTGAGCAGAGCACCTATTACAGTATGTTACAGCACCTGGTACAAAGCAAATATTAACCAAATAAATGTTTGGTCACAAATAATTTTTCATCCAAAAATTAAAAAATAATCCAAGTTTACTTTATTTATATTCTTATTTTTAAATATGCAAAAAAAAACAAGTACAAGAATACCTATATACACAAGTACTAGAGATGCATCAAAGTTGGACTCTGGCTTGGTGTTCAGTAAAAATCTATTATTAAAGCTTTTGCTTTTGAAAAACCAATCATCAGTCAACACCTACTTCAACATCCTTTCTGGTGTCCCTGTACCCACGCTTAATCAATGAAATGGTATGAAAGAGTAGGGTATCATCACATCTAACCAATATAAATCAGTACAATGAAAACCTAGGGAAAACAGAATATTCACTTTCAAGTATGCATAAGCATTCTAGAAATAACTTTCACTGAAAACTCCTTATGAGCTTTTATGTGTTAAATTTCTATCAGTTGAAGTATAATAAAATGTGTGCACAGTAATACAAGAGCAAACTGCTGCATTAATTAATGATGATTAGGACAGCTGCTAATTTTATGTTCAAAAACAATTATTAACTTGCAAATTGTTACAAGGGAAATACACCAAGAGCTAATACATATACTAGAGAAAGCTAGATCTTCCTTCTTGAGTTTTTTTTTCCTATATTTATAAGCCAATAAATGTTGACAGTTTTTAAAGAATACAAGGCCAAATGAGAGAGACTGGATTATATCATAAATCTAACCTTTGTAGAAGTTTTTTGTCTTCTAGCATTCATAAAATTAACTAGGTAGCCTTTATAAATGGTATTCACTCTTTAGATATTTCCCATTTCATCCATAAGCCTTTCAAGAAAAAGAGCTATTTGGGAATGCTTTGTATCGTGTAAAGATTAAAGTAGAAATAAAATAGCAACTTTGCCACCTCAAAATTTCATTAGGGAAAATCTCCAAAATCATTAATATTCATGGATAAATCTATGAGATACCCCAAAAATACTTTGTTCCTCTACTGACCTCAGTTGAAAGTGAGCATCTACTTGGTATAGCCAATGTGCAGTATACTGCCCAGCGAGCAATCCAGGAGCTGACAGTGCTGAGAAACTGTTCCTGCACCAAAAGGTCAAACTTATAAAAATCTGACAACAAAATGTTCATAAAATTCTAAAATATTTCTCTGTAAATACTCCTATTTATTTCTTTACGACGGTGCTACTCAGGCTGAGCACCATGTTGACTTTCTCAGCCACTCAGCCAGAACGCGCACGCGGAGCAGCTCTAGTTTGCCCAGGCAGACACACACGCGCCCATCAGAGACGGGGCACAGAGGATTACTCAGTCACCTTCTACTTAGAAAAGAATTACCATCAGATTCTTTGAATCCCTCATGAACATAAAATATTATTTGATCTATAATTTAACTTAAAAAATATTCAAACATATTTCTTCATTCAAAATAGTAGAGACATTTTTTAAATCCCACTCTAAAGTCAAAAAGGTAATTTTTTCCTTTAGAAAACAAAGATCACCAAAACCAAAAACTAGTCACAAAACTTTAAGAGCTACACCAATAACGTGATTAAGTTATTTATGAGGTTTATGTAGTTACTCTCCAATTAAAGACCACATTTTTCAAAGAGTTTATAAATAAAATCCAATAAGACTATCCTGACAAAGTCTGTAGATATAAGCCACTTGGTTCAACAAAACACCTCACAATCAGCCTGATTTAAAGAACATACAAGTTTAAAGGTTAACACTTTATCCATTAGCTACACTGTATTTTCAAGAGTCTGAACATAGCCACAGATGAGCTAGCCTCCAATTTCCCATTTTCCATCAGCAAGATCACCTCAATTAATAATAAAGCAATCCAAAAAATTCTTTCAGAAATGCCTTTATAGTGCTTCTCCTGCATAAATACAAATAACAAACGGATGAAAGGAAAGGAGGAAGGGAAGAAAGAAGAGAAAGAGATAGGGATGGAGGAAAGGATGAAGGAGGGAACAAGGGGGAAAAAAAACCAAAATCCCAGACCGTATTTTTCCAAAGAATCATACATATGGGTGTAATATCCTTAATTTAATTTTCAGTCTTATTTTAGATACACTACTAACACCTACTCCACATGCCTTTAAAAGATTCACTCTATTTTAACGGGGATCTGAAGGACACACACATTCAACCATAAAGGTGAATATTAGTGAATATTTTATTTATTTTTAACAGAAACACTTCAATTCTCACCAAAGTATTATCCAACCACCTTCAAAAAGGTCAAGACTAGCAATCACTGTGCTGTACTTGTATTAATACCACACTGTAAGTCACTATCAAACGGATTCCCAAAGTCGTTTATTAAATATCCCAACTAACTTTGTATTTATTGATCTAAATTTAATTCCCCCCCCACTAATGCTGTTTATCAGAAAGCTCCCCCATTCAAAATACAGCACCAGTTCCCACATTCGCTCAGACAGCCACAGCTTTACTGTATTTCAAAACTTGAGTCACCTGTATGCATCGTCTTCTTTCAAGTCTCATATCATCCTGATGGGGTGGGGGGAGGGAGGGAAGAGTCCAGCAGCAAAACTATAACACTGTGTGAAGAAAAACAGATTATGATAAGAGATAAGGATGCAAGACAATTACCCCTACTGAGGAACATCTAATGTAACTACAATCCCCAAAACAGAGATAAAATTACTGCAAATTCGTTTACTAACATTTATTTACGCTTACTTGAAAATAATTTTCATTAATGGAAATCAATTATATATATAAAAGGTATTCAATTGTCAAGGAGAGAAAGTTTCAAAATCTGCCTACTACCAATGAAACTTCAGGCATTTCCAGGTATGAAATAAACAGTCAATATTCCACTATTCTATATAATTTGGGAAAAATTTATACTTTTGTAATATCCATCAATTCACAAATCAGTATGAATATGAATTCACTTTTCATCGTGGCTTACTATCAGAGAGGTAAACAGAGGTAATGCAGGTTGCTTTACAGGGAAGATAATATGTCAATCTACCAATGTTATGTGTAAATTAAATTCTGAGACACTGCTCACAACTGCTCCTCTAAGCCCACAAGCCCTCATTTGCTTTTGCTCTCCAAGTGGCTTCTCTTACACTTTACTGTAAGTCTTTCACTGTACTTCCTACTTACTGCTTCCATTGGTATTTCACAAATGATCAGCAAAATTTATAATGACTGACAGGAAAGCAAAAGCAACCTCAATGTTGTTATCAACTGAGAGGAGGTGATAATAGAAGAGAGGAGGACAAGCACAGGCTGCAACCTAACTTATTTATAAGTTGAGTCTAAAAATTCTTTTTAAATTGATACTATGGAATTCAATAAATACTACTAATGACACAATGTTGCTTATGTTGGCCAAGTTCCCAAGCCAGGCAAAAAAAACTTACTGATACCAAAAGATATTATTGATCATGGGCACTGGGGACCGCTGAGAATACCGAAAGGTAACCAATTCTCGATCCTATCTGAACAAAATCTAAAATAGGTTGTTTTCCTTTGTTAGCACTCTCTCAACTCCTGATGTCTCTAATTCCCTAAATTTTACCTTAGGGAAGCCCAATCATCCTGCTTCCCAATCCTTTCTCCTAAGTAGTCCTGTGTTCCTAAATTACCATCCAAAACTCCTATTACCTCAGTGTGGTTCATTTCAGGTATGTGATAGAAAGAAATCAACTGGACTGAAATAATTTACTTTCATATTTGCAGTTTTCAACAAGGATGCTACTAGCTAGTCCAAATGAATCCCTAATTGGAAGAATTCTAATCACATTACAAACTAAAGTTTAAAATGACCAAGGTAGCTTGAAGAAAAACATTTTTAGGCAAATGGTCATAATATAGATTTGAATGTATATTTATTTCCCCAAAATATTTCTGCTCTTCATTAATTTCTCCTTCTATTTTTGAACTCCCAGGTTCTTTAAAAGCTAGACGTCTGTACTCGAAATAGCAGTAACTGGAAGTGTAGCTCAGGGACAGGGATGTACATGTATGAATTATCTGTAACTCAGGAACTGCCTGTGTCTAAAATCATTACCTATATTCCAGATTCCATTCCTAAAGAACCACGTTTCCAGTTTAGATGCTATGGTAAAACCTTAGACATGGGACCAACTGGTACCCATTTTGGGGGGTATATGGATAGATGGATGGATGAACATTAAAGCACTACATCAAAACAGTTTTATTCCAAAAAGTAATAGTATCTGAAGCCTCAAGAGTAACGATTTTTACTTCAAAGACATAGTTTTCTAACCATTTTTCTCTCATAAATGGTCTTTACGATTTTAGCATGGACCATGGGGACAGGAAATGTGAATTAAATCTCTAGCTATGAATTATATATTATCAAATCTTTTAGGTTCTCAACATCCCATTCTTCAACTATAAAATGTTACTTACAATGCTATCTACACTTTACCAACTTCAATGGTTTCAACAGGATAGATACTGCTGATACCAAAGGACTTCAAAAGAAAAAAGCAGAATCAGATGAACCATTAGCATTTTTTATTCTATTAAAAGCAGTTAGAAATTAACAGACTATCCCATTACTGTATGAAATATTTAAAGGTAAGAATATGGGCGGGCCAGTGATAGAAAGGAGAGCACATCTGACTAAGGATCAGAAGAAGCATGCATCAATACTGTCTGAACCTAAAACGGACATCTTTTAGACAAGTCAACCATTAATCACTACTCATTTGAAAAGTAGCCTTTAGCAAAGGGTAAAGTATCTCTACAAGTTACAAAACTTGCTGTCTTCATATGCAGCTACTAAACCATCACCTACTGAGCAATGCTAAAACTCCTTAAGTCTTGACCTTGGACTGCTTTAAATTAAGATTCTAGTGATAATTCCATATATCCTTTAGGTTGTTCACTTTTCAAAAAAAAAAAATCTGTTTATATCAGGTCAGCATTTTATGACAGTAGGTAACAGCAAACACCAAATGTACTTTGCAAACTATAAACACAATTTTCTTTCTAAAGAAGCCTAAAAATCCAGTCATATTTTAAATTTTTCTGAGAAAAACCTACAGTGAATTTTTCACCTTTCCCCCCACAAATGGAGTCATTCACAAATTATGGAGCTAAATAGATGCTAATGATAAAAGCAACTACTACTATCCTTACCACAGGCACCTCCTATTATCCTCAAAATCTTTTACAGTGTGCTTTAGCTCACGTTTTGCCAAAGGCAATTTAACAGTCTGCGAACACTCTAGAAACTGAGCTTAACTGGTTTTTAAAACTAAACCTGCAAACCATTTTTCGGTTGTCTGAAAATCACGACATAATAGTAGTAACCTACAGCACATCTGCAGGGAGAGAATTTCAACAGGCTGAGTTTAAACACACAGAATGCCCAGGTAGGTATCAGACTCAGTCTCTTGGCACCGGTCTCTTTCTACAGAGGGAGGGGGAAGGTGAAGGAGAGAGGGGGAGAACACTGAGACACCTAATTAAAAGCAGTGACAGACTGAGATTTATAAAATTAATGCTAATCCTCAAAGATCAAGACTGGCAAAACAGTGACTGAAATGAATGCATTAGCATGATATGGCAAATCCAGATTAACTCAGGAGTTAATGAACTAAATGGTAGCTATGACGTTTTCTCTTTCATGTCACAATGTCTTATAATGACATAAAACTAAAAATTATATGTAGTTTCAAAGTAACTAAATTAGCAGGTAAGTGTGACAAGCAGCAGGTGAAAACGATCAGTATGACAGGCTTCAGAAACACTGATGGGTACTGTTTTATTTCTTAAGCTGGGTGGAAGCACACAGCTGCTTATTATTATCTTTTAATTTTACAAGTTTTGTATAGTATGTATGTATATTTCAAGATTAAAAATTTTAATCCACATAAAAAAACAAAATATAACACACAATAGTGTTTAAAAGGACAATTCAGATAGTTTAAAGATGCCAATTTAAGAATAAGCTACCCACTCCCAAAAAAGAATAAGCTACAAAAATGAAAGCAGGGAAAACTAAGCTGATAGATCTACAATTTGATTCATGCATTAAAATTACAACGGGATTATCTAAAAATTATACTGTGACTGGCTTTCCTTATAAACTTCTACTCTTTTACACTAACATTAAGGAAGCAACAGAAGTGTCTTCTTTTTCCATATAACAATTTTAGAACAGATTTTCTAGAATTACAATAGCCAAAGAAGTCAAAGCAAAAATAGAAGAAAAAAAAAAATCATGGTTTTATACCTAACCCAGGAAAAAAAGTCTATTAACTCTAATTCCCAGTAAGATGATCAAACGGCATATAGAGAAAAAGCATTTTCACTAACTGGAAATTTCAAGTGAAATTCTTAAAACCAAGATGATTTATGATTCCTCCAAAACCCCTAGAAATAATTCTAGTCTTAAAAAAATTAAAAAGGAAAAAAAGATTTAAATGCACAAGACTTTAGAATGGGATATCAAAGAAAATTCTGAGTAAAACTGCAGGGAAAAAAGTAACATCTGCTAAACACTTACTATGCACCAACTACTCTACTGAGACACTTTACAGAAGTTGACACATTTAATCTCATACACATTTAATCTCATAACAATCCTAGAAGTAGGCACTGTGATTTCCATTTCATCAATGGGGAGAGCAAATTCAGAGAGATGAACCCGCCTGGCCGAAGGTCACAGCTTGTGAACTCTCGTCCTACACCAAAGTTCATATTTTCCACCACACCAAAATGCCTCTCACTAATAAGCACTGAAACAGTCATGGGAAAATTTCAAAGATTCAAGAATCTAGGTGTGTCTGGGTCTGATTTTAAGACCCCATACTCAATCTTCCACCTCAACCATCCCAAACAAGAAAGAAAGTTCATAAGCAGTAAATTAATTTGTAAAAAGCGCTGCAGTTTAGAATGGTAAAGAAACTCTCAAGTTAGTCAAGCAGAGAAAATTGGATCACAGCATATAACAGACTGATATATATATTCCCTCTACCAAAAAAATTAAAAGAGACGAACTAAAAAGAGGGTAAAAACCAAAAGCAGGTAAGTCATTACTGCACCAAAGCCTTGGGCAAGATAAAAAAAACATGAAGGATTATAATTATATGACTCCAATGGCAAGTTGGAAGTGGAAGTAGCGGATATAAGTGTTAAAGAAAATAGAAAGATGTGATTTCTCATGAAATTATGTGAAAAAAACTAACATCCCTGAGTAAGCACTAAAGAGAAGGTTCAAGAACTAAGAGCTGAGTGGATTAAATAAATGTTGCCCCAAATTTTTGCTCCTTCAAGGACCAAGTTACTTGGCCTCTCTGGGACTGTATCTGGGCTCAAATACAACAAAATTAGGCACTGAGTATTTGTATACAACAATAAATACAGGAAAACAGGAGGAAAATGCCCCTTATGCATATTATCTGTAACATAAGGCATTGCCAAATATCGTTTTTAAAACTGGAGGGGAGAGACTAGAAAGTTAGGGGTAAGCTGTGATCAGTTAAGTGGGAAGTACTGTTACCCTGTCACTAATTCAAAATGCCAACTACCAACATATTTATATGTATTCTTTTGTATTTTAAGTTCCTCAAACATAAATTCTCAGACCACAGAACATTTTAGGAACCTTAGCTCCCACTATCAGAGAGTGACTACTACATAAAATAGATACTAAGAAATACACCGTAAGTGAACCTAAGTTCCAGAAGGCTCATTTCTAAGACAATTGGATGAAGGTCAATATTAATCACTATTTTAGTTTTATGTGGAACTAAACAGACTTTTAAAAGCTGGCTTGGCCCACCTCTGTAGAGTTCCAGGCCCACATTTCCAAGGGCCCAGAGAACAGAGCTTGAATGTCCCAGATATTATTGTTCCCCAGTTATTAATGAAGAGATGTCTTACCTTTAACGGATACATATTTTCCTTTCATTCACTTAATTCCCATAAATAATTATATAAGGTAAGTAGTACTATTATCCCCACTTTACAGGTGACGAAAACTAAAGCCTAGAGAAGTGAAGTTGCCCCAAGTCACACATGACTAATGAAGAGAAAAGATTCAAATCCAACCAAAATGACTCCAAAACCAATGCTTTCAGGCACATATTAAATTGAATTTACTATCTCCTCGCCCTTCTCCCCTGCCCCAAAAAGGGGAGGAAAGACCAGGCAGGACAGGAAAAAAAAAATCCGTTTTTCCTTCCTGTATTCCCAGTCTTGGGTGACAAGTCTCACCATCACCCCCATCTCCCAAGGAGAACCCTAATCACCTAGGATCTCTTTCCTAGTGCTTACACCACATCCATCTGGCAAATTCTTGTGTTGGATTCACCTCAGAAAGGTCTTCCCAACTGGCCTTGTTGCTCCATCTCTAGTGTGCCTGCCTCGATCAACACCCTCCCTGTCCCTGCTCAAATCCACCCATACAACCCACTCTCACCCAAACTGCAGGCCTCAAAACACATGCTGTCACCATTCCAGCCCAATCATGTGCCACCAGGTTGTTCTGAAGCTGGAACTCAACGACGGTCTTCTCTCCATTTAAAATTAAAAACCTCAAGTTTTTCTCCCATCATTTATCTGAAATAAACAGAATGCATTCTGATTGTAACACACTACATGCTCCTTATTTTTTAAAAAGGGAGTAAGTAGAAACTGAATAGGAATAACCAAAAGTCACACAAAATTCCAATACCCTAAGCAATGTCTGCTCCTATTGTTGTTTATTTCACATCTTTACATCAATACTTTATATTTGCAGCACTTTTCATGGTTGTATAGTACCCCACTACACAGATCTAAGTTTACATGAAGCAAATACCTATTGGGGGATATTTGGGTTGTTTCCAATTTCTCACTACTATAAATTTTGAACCCTGGAGTCTGCTTTTACCCATTTGCCAATAGGAATTAAAAGCAAAGTAATATGAACATCAAGACTTTTTGAATCTCTGTTGATATGCTTGCTTACAGATACATTTTTATATCACCTACACATAATGTATTCAAACTTGCTATTATTCAATAGATTCTAGCTTATAAAAGGAATTAAAAAGGAATTAAATGACTTCTAGGTAGAGATTCACACCAGAGCAGCATCTAATGTGTAGTGTTACCCCTGGTTACATTTCCCTACCCAACCTCAACATCTAGGTTGATCTCATTCATTTACATATTCCCATCAGACAGAGGACACAGGAAGAATATGTTCAATCAATACCCTGCAAGCCCTTCTCATAACTAGTTTTTAAGGAATGCATTGGAGGGGCACCTGGGTGGGTCAGCCTGTTAAGCGTCTGCCTCCGGCTCAGGTCATGATCCCCGGGGTCCTGGGATCGAGCCAAGCGTTGGGCTCCCTGCTGAGTGGAGAGCCTGCTTCTCCCTCTCCCTCTGCCCACCCCCTGTGCGCTCTCTCGCTCGCTCACTCTATCTCAAATAAATAAATATCTTTAAAAAAAAGAAATGAACTGGAAAACCATTCTGCTCTGTCCTTTCTGATAGCACTAACTTTTCTAGAGTGGTCATATATATTTATATGCACACACATATAATTTTACTTATAAAACATACATTATGTATAATTAATTTACATAAGTGCATGCACACATATACTTAGTCGGTTATATGTACTTTTATACATATATAATTATATATAATTTTAGAAACCACTGCTTTTAATTATCCTTGCATTTCAAAAATAAAGAAAAATAACCAGGCCCAGAAATAATCAAAAACACACACTGCTATTAGCAGCTTACATCTTCCTCCAACAAGCCTATTACTAAGAGTAGTAAATGAGTTTAGTTTTACTTATTTTTCCCAACTACACTTTTAAAAAACTCAAAAACTCTTAAAATGTGTGTGGCCTTGTATCTCTGTGCATCAGTTATCCTCGAAATATCCCATGTCTCTCACTTGTAACCCCAACCTCAGGTGTTATACCTCCAGTTCCATCCCCTGGCCCCTCCACTCATTTCTCTATCCATCTTTCCCTCCAGAAGAAATATTTCACAGTTTTACTCTGAACTAATAATGCTGACTTACTCTTTTCTCTACACTAACCTCTAATTCAGCATCTAGTCCAACTGCTGCTAGATGTTGCCTACAGTGCCCTTACTACCTCAACTCCCCACGCTCGAGACACATCCTCACCTACTTCCTCACAGAACTGACCTTTCCATGTTTATCCCCAGTGCCACCGTTCTTCCAGCAACTTCACCAGAAACTGGTTTCTTTCTTTACTCGAAATGGTCTCACTAAATGCTGTCAATTTTCAAAATGCCTCCTGCCGTAATTATTCTCCATGCCCACTGCAATCACCTTGGTCTAGGTCATTATTTCATACTTGGTATTACAGATCCCCCTAGAACTAAGCATCTTCCAGGCCAGGTGGTATGTCAGAACACTATGGGAGGTTCTCAAAACCAGACTGCAGACTCCACACCCAAAGATACTGATTCAGGAAGCATGGGGAAGAACCCAAGAATCCCACCCCCCCTACCCCCCGGTGATTTTAGAGCACAGCCCGATGTGGAAGCTACCAAACTTAAAGGCAGCTTATCCCTTGCCTCAATTCATCGGGCTTATAGCTGCCACAAGTATCTTCCTGAAGCACATGACTTTCAACCTGGATTTAACTTACCCTCTGTAACTTAAGAAAAATCGATCAACTCTTATTGCCCTGAACGGAGAGTTTAGCATGGCATTCTATAAAATGCCATTTAACCCCCCCTGCACCAATGCTCAAATGATTTTCCCTACCTAAAGTTTGCCACTTCTTTACCCAACCCTTTACGTAAATCCTATCCATCCCTCAAGACTACTTGAATTCCCCCTCATCCAGCTTCACGTCACTCCAGCCCCTCAGAATTTGCATTCAGTGATCCACCACTATATCTTTGTAATTATTTATGTTATATTATTACTCCAGTGACATTATCTCCGGCTTGGTAAGCTTCACATTTCTATTTCATCAGAGTAGATGTGCAATGAACATATCAGTAAAGTGAATAACAACATGGAAAATACTGCTCAATGTAGAAAAAGTAAGTTATAAAGCAGCATGCAGACACCATGTGATTACATTTGTTTTTTAAAAGGAGAGAAAACTAGTTGTGTGCATTAAAAAAAAAAAAAACCCTGACAGGTTATCCACAAAACAGTAGTTATCTCGGGAGAGAGGAGCTAAAGGAAATTGTTATTCTAAGCTTTTGTATTTTTTAAATTTCCTAAAAGGAATGTGCATTTTGTAATGAAACCAAATGTTCCTAGAATCTTAAACCTTAAAATCTTAACCTAGAGTTTTTGTGATCAATGGAAATCCTGTAAAAATGACTGGCATGGGTATCAGCAGCCATACTGTCACAATCCTAACACTTGGGACTTACTTGTTAATGTTAACATTTCCCAACCTCTACTTCAAATTCCACTGGCCTCACTAGGTGGATGTTCAACTTCTGGGACTCTGTTCACAGCTTTGCAAATCAATTTCATACATGAGCATGCTACTTCTCCAGCTGTACAGAAGAGTTCTGTTTATTCTCTTCGTTTGTCCTTTCAACCAAAACTACAAATCTTAACATAGTATTATTGCTCTTATTTCAACATAAGACCAGGAGACATATAATAGGTGAGAAAACTGAAATTAATATTAAAATAAACCTTAGAATGAAGGTCTGGAAAAACCTTTAAAACACCATCTTAAGCACCGTTTCCTTCTTAAGCAGAAAGAAAGTCCTAAATACAATGAAAACCTACCCATTTCAAAGATTCTCATGATAAACTACAGCAAAACGTTCAATCCTTAATTACAAATTCTACGCTAAATTCCTCCTGCACACTGAAGAAACAGAAAATAGCTACACAGCCTACAAAATACTCTTCATACCCACACTCCTCAGCTTCTCTCCAAATGCACATCCAGACACTGTGTCTTCTCAAGCTGAATTAGCCAGCCTCTGTCCATTTTTCCTGCTCAAATCTGTTTTCTCAATTTATGATCTCCAAATCTGCACATAGTATAGTTAAACATGAGCCTTGCCACACTAAGTATTGTTCCTATACAGTTTTCCTTTCTTCATGTAGCATTGATTCATGGTCCATTTGTGGTCTATTATACCTCATGTTCAATCTCTTTTAGAAATCCCTTTCATGAAAGAAAATAAAAAATTTATATATAAAAGTGTATCATTAAAAATAAATTAAAAATCAGGAACAATAAAAGTTTTCAACACTAAAAAGAAAAGGTGACATATATTATGGTACATTCACATGACAAAATATTATATAACCCTTTAAGTTGTTCTTACGATAACTGCATGGCATGAAGGAAAAAGTCATACACTGCATCAGAAAGCAAAACCCTCCCCAAAGCAAAATCTCAGGAAAGTAACTGAAAAAACTCTGGGGGAAAATATGTAAGGTTATTAATAATGAATGTCTTTGGCTAATATAATTCTTGGTGATTTTTAAATTTTCCTCTTTATACTTTTCAGTATATCACAACTTTTATAAGTCAGCACATCTCTTATAATCAGGAAAAAATGATTCAAGAAATTCAACCTCCATATGAAACGTAACAGTCATCATGGTATCTGGTTAACAACCACAACCTCTAAGTGCATCCAATTTTTAAAACTCCAATATAGGTAAAAAGCTCATGAAAATAAACTATTAAAGATCTTTGTTTAAAAAAATCAGTTAAGGGGCGCCTGGGTGGCTCAGTTGTTAAGCGTCTGCCTTCAGCTCACGTCATGATCCCAGAGTCCTGGGATGGAGCCCCGCATCGGGCTCCCTGTTCTGCCGGAAGCCTGCTTCTCCCTCTCCCGCTCCTCCTGCTTGTGTTCCCTCTCTCGCTGTGTCTCTGTCAAATAAATAAATAAAATCTTAAAAATAAATAAATAAATAAAAATTTAAAAATCAGTTAAGGGGTGCCTGGGTGGTGCAGTTAAGCGTCTGACTCTTGGTTTCAGCTCAGGTCATGATCTCAAAGTTGTGGGATCAAGCCCTGTGTGGGGCTCCGCACTCAGCACAGAGCCGCTTGAGATTCTCTCTCCCTCTGCCCCTCCCACTCATGCTCTCTCTCTCTGTGAAATGAATAAATAAATCTTAAAAAATCTGTTAATACACTGCTAGGTCACTATCCACAAGAAAACCAAAAAAAGTACTTACTTAGTGTTGCTTCACCCAATACTCAAGGCCCTAAAGCCATCATCAGGCTTCTGAATCAACCTGCCCTAGTTTAACTTCTGGCTCAACTTAATAGGTGGTGGGCTCACACAAGGTTCTAAACTCCTAGATGACTAAGTGACCTCATCTACAAAGTGAGGATAATCCATAAAACTGTTGTATTATCAGGGCGCCTGGGTGGCTCAGTCGTTAAGTGTCTGCCTTCGGCTCAGGTCATGATCCCGGGGTCCTGGGATCGAGCCCCGCATCGGGCTCCCTGCCCGGCGGGAAGCCTGCTTCTCCCTCTCCCACTCCCCCTGCTTGTGTTCCCTCTCTCGCTGTCTCTCTCGCTGTCAAATCAATAAATAAAATCTTTTAAAAATATAAAATAAAAAAATTGTTGTATTAGCAAT